GTTTTCTGTGAGATGGTTCATGTCTAATAGGAGAATCACAGGGTCTGCCTATGAGAGCCAGGCCAGCTTCTGGGTGTCAGGGGCTGCCCTTTTTCCTTCCTCAATAGCTTCAGTCATTCTTATCCTATAATGGGCAGAGCTCACAGGTTTGTGTGTGCCTTTTTGTCACACTGCCAACTACAGTTCAATTTTAGGTTGGGTTGGTTACGAGAGAACAGAAAGGGAATATTCTTCCCAGAAAAAATGATTCAGTGCTACTCATACTCCCTGGTCCCCTTTCTACATAGTTGATGCACTTGACAGCGAACTCTTCTCCCAATCTGATGCTTGAGGACTGTGGTGCTTTCTCTATTGCCACTCGATGAGCATTTGATGGCAGGAAAATTTGGTAAAAGAGAACAACCATTTCTCCTGAGAAAAATGGTGATAAACATGGATTTTAATTTTAATTTTGTTTTGAAAGAAGCAATCTTACAGGTTTCTAATAATATAGAGGAGAAAATATTATTCCACTACCTTTGATACAATGTCTGCTCTAATTACCACTAAGCATTCCTAAAGGTTATTTGGCACTGACTTCTTCTCCTGTGCTCCACCCAGTTTTTCTTTTTTCTCTTTTTACTAAAAACCAAACATCTATTGTTTCCAGCATTTAGAAGAGTCGCAAATTTTCTACTCAGAGGTGTTAAAGTTGCTGCTCCCTTTTTATTGTTTGAAGAACAACCTGCTTGTCTCTTGTTAGACTAACTAGTACAGACTAGCACTGCAAGTAATTCACAGACTATTTTATGATCAACTGGATATAATCAATTTGTTTTGATTTATAAAATTGGGAATACCACAAGCCACGACTGCCTAGCTATCTGCATAAATATTTACTCAAAAAATATTTGCTGAACACACGCTATGTTTCCATATTACTTTGTCCCAGGCATGGGGACACCAGGGAGGGAAGGAAGGTGAAGAGCTCAATCTCTGGAATCTTAAGGCCCGGGTTGGAATTCCTGCTCAGCCACTTGCTAGTCATATCATCATAGGCAGGTACTTGATCTCTCGCGACTCTACATTCTTCCTCTGTAAAATGTGGGTGACTGAATAATACTTACCCTTAATGCTGTTGGAGGGCTGAAAGACGTCATTTGCATTAACTGCTCAGTCCAGTGCTCAGCATAGTTAGTACACAGTGAAGCCATTGTTATTTTTTGACAATATAGTGGTGAATTACTAGATGCTATTCTTCCCTCAAGGAACTGACTGGTTCCTCTAGCTGGTGAAATTGGAGGCATCTCACTTATTCTTGGGGAGGGTATTAGGAGGCAGGAAGAGAAGGCACTTAGTGAGACCTGATGGATCAGTGAAAGTTGTCCTGGCAGTGGTAAAGGGTAAGGGACAAAGGAAGGAACGAGGCTTGTAGAGAACAGAATGGCCTCAGCATTGGGGACACAATACCAAGTGCTAGATGTGACAGAGGAGAGAACCACAGGCAGTTCCTTGTGGCCACACTGTGGACTGGATGGAGAGCGACGTAGGTAGTGGGAACTGTAGCTGGGGATTCCAGCCAGGACCGGATCTCAAGGGCCATGTGTTCAAAGTTTAGCACCTTAGACTTTACTTTGAAGACAATAGGGATCTGGAGTCAGTCTATCAGTAATGGTACCCTTTTCAAAAAGGTACTTACATAATTTTTTTTAATGATAAAGGAAATTATTTACAGAGAGGGCAGAGTTCATTGTTTTCTCATTCACAGAGTATAGTGACCATTACCTGTATGAGCCTGGCCCTCTCATTTAATTTCTCCTGCCCCTCATTCCTTACCTATTCCTTTCTCCCATTCCTCTCCATATTAAAGACACCCATTTTTTGTTTGTTTTTTATTATTTTATTTAAGTCCCAGGGCAGATGTGCAGTATGTGTAAGTTTGTTACATAGGTAAACGTGTGCCATGGCGGTTTGCTTCACCTATCACCCTATCACCTAAGCATTAAGCTCAGCACGCATTAGCTCTTTTCCCTAATGATCTCCTCCCCCAACACCCTCCCCCTACAGGCCCCAGTGTGTGATGTTCCCCTCCCTGTGTCCATGTGTTCTCATTGTTCAGCTCCCACTTATAAGTGAGAACATGCGGTGTTTGGTTTTCTGTGTCTGCATTTGTTTGCTGAGGATAATGGCTTCCAGCTTCATCCATGTCTCTGCAAAGGACATGATCTCATTCCTTTTTATGGCTGCATTGTATTCGTGGTGTATACGTACATTTTCTTTATCCAGTCTATCATTGATGGGCATTTGGGTTGATTCCATGTCTTTGCTATTGTGAATAGTGCTGCAATAAACATATACATGCATGTATCTTTATAATAAAATGATTTCTATTCCTTTAAGTATGTACCCAGTAATGGGATCGCTGGGTCAAATGGTATTTCCAGCTCTATATCTTTGAGGCATTACCACACTGTCTTCCACAATGGTTGAACTAATTTACATTCCCACCAACAGTGTAAAAGCGTTCCTATTTCTCCCCAGTCTTGCCAGCATCTGTTGTTTCTTGACTTTTTAATAACCACCATTCTGACTGCCATGAGATGGTATATAATTGTGGTTTTGATTTGCATTTCTCTAATGATCAGTGATGCTGAACTTTTTTTCATGTTTGTTGGCCACATGTATGTAAAGACACCCATTTCTTTATGTGCTTGACATGGTTTTAAATACACATGAATCCTTGCAAAATACATCATGTTGTTCTTTATGCCTTTTAAATTTACCTACATGGTATTCTGCTAAAAATAATTTCCTGCATCTAAATTTTTTTCTTTAGATACAAAGCATCTGTTTGTGTATGTACATCAGTCACTGTGTCAAAATTCTGTATACATGGCCCATATACAATACACATTGTAGCATTATTTATAATAACAGCTTGAAATAACCTAAATACTGCACACTAGGGAATGGATAACTAATCCTGGTACACCAGCAGTGTTAAATATCATGCCTCCATTAAGAATGATAGCTCTCAATATGAAGGGGCACATGCTTCTGACAATGTTAAGTGAGAAGAGCAGACAAAATAGTCTAAATTGTGACAACAACCACAAAAATACACATTCATATAGCCAAGGGCTGGAAAGGATCAGAGAAAAATGGAACAGGTATGTATGTCTGAGCAAGGGAATAATGAGTAACATTTCTCATGTACAGTAGCTCCCCCTATTCGAAGTTTCACTTTCCAAGGTGTCAGTTACCCCCGGTCGACCTTGGTCCAAAAATATTACATGGAAAATTCCAGAAACAAACAATTCATAAGTTTTAAATTGTGCAGTGTTCTGAGTGGTGTGAATTCTTGCACCATCCAGCTTCATCCTGCAAAGGACCTGAATTCTCCCTTCGCCCAGCGGATCCACACTGCAGAAGTCACTTATGAGTCACTGCAGAAGTCACTCCTCATGAGCCACTTAATAGCTGCAAGAGTAGTGATGCTGGCATATTGTGAAAATTCTTCTATTTTATTATTGTTGTTGTTAATCTCTTACTGGGCCTAATTTACAAATTAAACTTCATCATAGATATACATGCAAAGGAAAAAACAGTATATAGAGGGTTTGGTACTATCTGCAGTTTTAGGCCTTCACTGGGGGTTTTGGATCCCATCCTGTAGGAATAATGTAGTGCTTCTGTAGGAATAATGGGGTGCTTCTGTAGCTGTTAGTAAGATGATGGTGTACCTGGGGATTCGCGCTATACACCACAGCATCTTCTACCGTAGTTTTGGGGAAGAGGGAAGATCAGAGCGGTACCAATCTGCTGCTCCTTGCCCCAAAACTGGCAAGAGGCGCCTTTCCTCTCCACCAGCTGTGTCCTGCAATCAACTGCAGCATATTTGCCTCACCCCATGGGAAACAGGTTTGAAGTTAAAAACCTTTTCAGAGGGCCAAGATAAATTTAGTGCTGCTAAATTTAACTACTTTCAAGATTAAACATGAAAAGCAAAGTGCATGAGTTATGTATATTATTCTTTCAATTGTGCAAAAATAAGATATTAACTCGTTTTTGCATAGAAAAATTCTGCAAGAATAGACAAGAAATGTTAACAGTTACCCCTGGGATCTGGGATAAAAGAGAGACATCATGCTTTTCTTTAAAAAAAAAAAAAAAAGAAAGAAAGAAATTTAGGTTTTCGTGGATTTTGTGTGTGTGTGTGTTTTTTTGACAGAGTCTAGCTCTGTAGCACAGGCCGGAGTGCAGTGGTGGGATCTCGGTTTACTGCAACCTCCATCTCCTGGGTTCAAGTGATCCTTGTGCCTCAGCCTCCCTACGTAGTAGTTGGGATTACAGATGTGTACCACCACACCCAACTAATTTTGTATTTTCAGTAGAGACGGGGTTTCACCATGTTGGTTAGGCTGGTCTCGAGCTCCTGACCTCAGGCGATCCGCCTGCCTTGGCCTCCCAAAGAGCTGGGATTACAGGCCTGAGCCTCTGCGCCTGGCCCATGCTTTTCTCTAAAGTATGAAAGGAATATGTACTTTCTTCTTAAAACCCATGTACCAAACAAACATCACTTTTCAATTAAAATGTTATTTTTAAAAGTTTAAACTCCCAAATTTCGTGGTTCTAACTTTTTTAATAAATGTCTAAATTTTTACCTCATTACAGCGTTCTCCAAAACAACAAATTCATATTCTGAGCCTAAAACTGTGCACCTCTTTTAGTGATGAGGACGGAGTCCAAATTGAGGACATCCCTTATAACTCATAATGCACATATATTCTGACATCAATAGCAACATAGAATGCAACTGATGACCAATATATATTCACAAATAATTGAGGACCATGCCTAAGAGTTGGATTCGGATTCCGACGTGACTGCTAATGTCCCTAACACGGACTAGCTCCAGGAGAGTCCCCCGGCCCTGGGGATGTGGCGGGCGTCACCCGTTGTCCGGGCCCACACCACGCAGACCCAGTCCTAGCTCGCTCGCTAGACCACGGAGGGCCGCTGGGTGCAGCGACAGAGCGCGGGGCCCCGACGACCCCGCCCCGCGCCGCGTCACTCGGCGCCCTGCGGCGCGCTGTGAGCACCTACCACTAGCGGAGCTGCGAGGGAGAGGCCGCGGCCCCTTCCAGTTGCCGGCGGCCCTGCGCCGGCATTCAGAGCGCCTCGCCTGGCGCTAAATTTAAACACGTAACACCAGCAGCAGGCTGGTCCCGGAAACGAAACGAAACTCGGCCCCCGGGCCTCCTCCCGGGCGCTGCCGGTCCCTCAGCGCGCCGCGCCACCCGGAACAGACCCTTCTCCCGCCATTTTCGGCGGGGCTGGGAGACTGAGGCCCGCAGCGCTGGGCCTGCGGCGCCCCGGAAGAGGCGGGCGGCATGGCCGCCGGCGTGGACTGCGGGGACGGGGTTGGCGCCCGGCAGCACGTGTTCCTGGTTCCAGGTAAACACGCGCGCCCGGGCGGCGGGGACTGCCCAAGAGCTGGTGAAGCGGCACGCCACCCCGGGCGCGCTGCCCCCCACCGCGGCAGCTCCCATTCCCCGGCCTGGCGCGGGATGGGATTCTCTCTGGGACAGCTGGCCCCGCATCTTGGTCACACGTCATAGCAAATCGCGGTTTTCAAACCCGGAAGCGCCGAAAAGGACCGAGCGGTTTCCTGGGCCCTGATCCCCGGTAGCTCGGGTGGGCGGGTGGAAGCCGACTCAGCCTGCGGGGAGCCACGCGGGTTCGGGGTCATCGGTGCGCTGCGGGCCCCGGAGGTTTCTGCCCTTGATGTTCCCCACCTGGCAGCTGGCCCTGCTTCTGTGATCCTACTGGGTTGGAACCAGGGATCCAGTAGGCTCGAAGTGGCCCCAGACGGTGCGCCGTTTTAACAAGAAAGCAGAGGGACAGGCCTGCGGTGGCGAGGCAGGAGGGAAGCGGGATGGGAGTCGCGGTTAGGCCAAGGGTGGTTCAAAGCGACTCAGCAGGATAATGACCACAGGAGTGCTGGAGCCGGGCCTTTCAGCCCCCGTGTGGATGATGACCGGCCATCCAGGACATGCGAGGGCTTGAGACAATGGACAGCCAGTGCCACACAAGGAAGGATCGATTAAATGACACAGTTAAAGGAATTTGGCCTACGGAATGCAAGCCAGAAAGTTTTGGTCTTTTTATATATGTATAACATTGGAAAAAAGGAAAATCTCCTGTTCCCTGTATTAAATTTTGAATTTAGCTCAGCAAATGCAGCGTGTTCGTTGCCTAAATATAGTCTGATACCAATATTCTTTCCCAGGAATTCAGAGTTTTATGATGGTTATTGAAAATGTTTACATGACAGGCTGTGAAGAATATTTTTTGCCTCTAAAAAATACATAAAGTGTACGAATTTTACGTATGCAACTCATTGAACTTTTCATACGTATACATCACCCTAGTAACCATCCCCCAGTTCGAGATGTATACTGTTTCCAATAGGTCCTTATGCCTATTCTTAGATAGCCCCAGGAACCTCTATGCTGACCTCTGTCACCAGAGGTTAGTTTTGCCTGTTTGGATAAGAGTGTACCCCTTTGTGTCTGGCTTCTTTCACGCCCAAAGTTTCATCCATGGTTTGTGAAATTCATTCATGTTGTAGCAGTTGTTTGGTTGGTTAGTTTTTTCATTGCTACTTCTGTTTAATTGTATAAATATCCAAACTATCTGCCCTACTGTGGATGAACATTTGAATTGTTTCCAGTTTGCAACTATTACAAGTTACACTTCTCAGAGCATTCCTTTAGGCGGCTTTTGGTAGACATAGGCACTCATATCTCCAGGGTGTATACCCTGGAGTGGAATGGCTGGTTCTAAGTACTTGTGTGTAGAGCTGTAGTTGACACTGTTAAATGGTTTTCCAAAGTGGTTATACTGATTTATATTCCCACAAGCCGTGTATGAGAGTTCCCATTGCTGCACATCTTCAGTAAAGACGTTTGGGTGGTAAAACAGCCAATGCAAAATTCAGAATTTTGACAATCTCGCAAAGGACTACCCGTATACATGCTTTTCATTAGAAAAATCATCCTTCTCACTTTGTCACTTCAAGACATTTAGATTTTCAGGGTAGGAACTCTAATCATTCTTTCAGAATCAAGTGCATTATTATTATTCAGATATACACAATAGCTGATGATAATTTGAGCTTCTTATTTTGTTGTTCTGTTTAATCAGTATTGACATCGTCGTTTTAAAAGTGTGTTTGTGTCCTTATTGTATTAAACACAAAACCCTCAAAAGAATTAAATATTGATTGTATCCCTGAAAAATGTAGGTTTTAATATATCTACTGCTGGGTTGTGAGAAGAGTTTCTGTTGAGTTTCTGTTCAAAGCTGAGATCTACTGTGACCTTTTAAGGCATTGGCGGAGGCTGAGCAGCTGTTGGGAACTGCTAGAAAGAGCTGTGTGGTCAGGCGGGCAGGAACTCTTAACAGTTAAAAACTTGGGCTGCCAGCTCCTGCAATTCTTCCTTCTGGCCTTTAGTGCCACCTGCAGGCTCTGAGGGTACAACACGGTTTGATAGCGACTGCAGTGCAACAGTAGTTCTCAAACTTGAAGGCATCACTCACCTAGGGAGGTGGGCCTCAGCCCCCACAGGTTCTGGTTCAGTAGGTCCTGGGCTGAGGCCAGAGAATGTGCATTGGTAACAAGTTCCCAGGAGATGTTGATGCTGCTTGTCCGGAAATCTCGGCCCCACCCCGGGAACCACTGCAGTAGAGACTTTGGGAACTAGATTGGGATATAGGAATGACCAGCCTCATGTTTGGCCCTCTTTGTGGTGGGCCAGAATTTAAATGGTCAAGGAAGTGCATGTAAGTGCAGAGTAGGAGGTTCATCTTCCCAGTTGTCTTTTCCAGAAGGTGAGAAATCAGCCTGCTTAGTTACACATTTGGGAGCTGGAAACGATAAGCCCTCGGCTGAGGGAGCACCATACCCCAGTAAAGTTGGGCCCTTAATAAAGAAACCAAAGATTATTAAACATTTTTCAAAAGTATTTGGTGGAGGCGGCCTGTATTCGGTTTTAGAAAACTTGGGATCTGAAGAACTTACTCTGTGTACTGAAAAGTGAGCACATGAACCCACAGGCCGACAGAACTTTAGAGGGATTTACCATGAGACAAGGGTGAAGCTGCCTAACCTTGCAATGATACATTTTTTCAACATTTAATTCATGCTGTTCATCGAGTTGCCTGCCACAGCACTGTGTTATATCTTGAAGGATATATTTAAATGTTTGGTTTAGGTATTTTGCCTCTAGTTTTCCATTTGTTTGGAGAAGCTGACTATCTCAGATAAACAAATCTAGGACTTGGAAGAGATACTTGTGAGATATTCAGACTTGGGACGTTGGTTTTCATAGGCTGGTGAAGACAGAACCGTTTCCCATTTCAGCAAAGGCAAGCATTTCTTTTAGTTGGGGTTGTCTTAAATGTTTCTGTAAAATGGCCTGGGAATACTACCCTGTTTGCAGTTTTAATTTCTGTAAGAGGCCATTAACATCTTTACTTTTTGGAAAGTAGTATAAGTTTCTATCCCTCATTTTCTGCCCTAAAAGTAAATGTTTGAGTCATATTTTTAATATTTTTCTTAAGTCAATTTTTCTTGTTAATGCTGGTAAGTTGGGATGTACCCAGGTGTGAGAGGTCACCTGATTCACTGTGTATAGAAGACTGCATTTATTGCTATTTGGGGCTGAACAATTAATTGGGTTCATCTCCAAGGAAATGTTAATTGGGGAACCCTAACATTGTGTATGGAAAAAAAAAAAGAAGAAGAAAAATCATTTCAGGCCTATTAAAACAAAATTCATTTGGGTTTACTTAGGCTGATTAAAATGTTCCTTAAACAGCTCCCTGATTAAACAGTCCTGAGGTGAAACTGGACCTCAACTCAGATTTTCAGTTAGAAACAAGTTTTGCAATAAAGTTATCCCCCTTTATTTCATGAATATATATGTTAAAAAGTATTTTAGGAAAGATTGCACGTATTATTTATTTCCCCACAGAAAGCAGTTTCTTGGAGGTAGAGGATGGGTTGCTTTTTGGGAGATGAGAATCACTGTCTACCTTAGACATTTCAAATACAATAACAGCTTTTCATGTGAGGCATCATGATAATCACAAATGATTATGCCAGAGCTGTCTCTCCAAGTGGAATGCAAAAATAGATGTGGAAGGATTATATAAATTCGTGCATTAGAACTATGTTCTAATTAAAGGATTTAAAAAATAAATTTAAAAGGAAAAACTAATTTTCTTAATGATGGAGAAAAATTTATTTCTGATTATAGTCTTGAAGCTTTTTTTTTTTTTTTTTAAATCCACCAACTGGCATAATTGTAGCTTTTTATAAGTCCAAAGAAATGCCTCTTGTTTTGGGGGAGAAAAAAAAGTAAAGGTTTAAAGTGTATGGCAAAGGAAGAACTACTATAGATTTAATTGACTTTTCAGTGACACTAAAAAAACACTCTTTTCTCTTTTTTATCTAATGGCACATGGTTAATCTCAGAAGAAAAACTTAGCAGGATTTTTGTTCTTTGTCAAAACGGCATGTATGTATATGTTTGTGTTTAGAAATACACCTGAGGGCCAAAAGCTTCCTTATTTTCAGAAGAGATGAACTTCACTTGGCAAATGATGGAGAACCTGGCCAGTTCAAGTGCTGATTTTAGACAACCTCAGAATAGTTATGCTCACCTTTTTGGAAGATGTGTCATTTACCGAATAGTCTACTGCAGGCAGTCAGCAATGCAGGAGTCTCAGAGTTTTCCAGCATAGAGCGTGTTTAACATTTTCCACACGAATCCTCAGTCTGGTTTTGTTTTTGCAAAATGTTTTTTGGTGGAACCCAACTGACCTTTCTCAGATGGCCACTGGATCCGCCCCCCTCGCTATCTATCTGAGCACGTTCTGAAGTGGATAGACTTCAGTTGCCAGTTGGTGTAATCAGGCTGTTTCCAGGGTCTGATCTTGTCCCTTTAGTAATTGTTCCAAAATACTTGGGATATTTATGAGTAAGAACTCATGACTCCCACATATTTATTCTCCAGGTCAGAAAAAAATATATTCATTAAAGGAAAGCAAGCAGTGTTGATGATTTTTTATTTGAGTAACAGAATAGGGACTGCATGGATTCTCCCACATCCTCTGAGCTTTAACTGTGATGCTAAAAAACAACTCAGTCAGTGTGCTCCAAAGCCTCGCTATAATGACACACACTTAAAAGCCAGATTTATGCTATTTATTAGCTCTGTGTCCTTGGACGGTTTACCTCCTCACTATAAAGCCTCACTTTCATTATCTCTACAGTGGGGAGAACAATACCAGTCTGGTGGGGTTGTTATCTGTGGTTTGAGTTACTCATAAGATTTCTTACACCTCAGGCTTTTAGCCCTGGGCCTCGGACAGAGTAGATATTTCAA